ATTGGTCACCCCTGAGTGGGGTACACATTTAAACTGATTGGTTTTGTGGCCTGGATGCTTACGTCTGAGCTATTTGGAGCCCTTAGCTAATAAACAACCAGGGAATCAATGGAAATATTTACTGGGCAGTTCAGGTATTGTTCTAACAGCTACAGAGATTACAGGTTCTGGGGGTAGCAGAGGAATTTTAACAATACCTGGCCTATTATTATTATTTTTAGCCCAAGCCTTTCAATTTAGAAACCTTACAATCCCCAGTCTTTTACACTTTAACTCAGACTCTTGCAGCTTAGAGTCAGCTTAGAAATTTTACCTTTACAGTGTTAATTCTAATGTTTTTACATCTTTGGCAACATTTGTTATTTTTCATCTTTTTGATAAGGGCCATTACAGCAGGTGAGATGTGATATCTCACTTTAGTTATAATGTAGCTTGCACTCCCCTGATGATTAGTGGTCATAACCATTTTTCTTATATATGTTAGTTGTCTGTGTGTCTTTAACAAAATAGCTCTTAAGTCCTCTATTCATCTTTTAACTAGATTATTTTTATCCTTGAAATTGACATGTTGGTTTTCCTTATATGTTTTGGATATAATCCTCTTACCAGATGCATAGAGTTCTTTATTGTGTTACTTGTTTCTTTTGCTACCCAGGAGTTTGTTTTTGCTTTTTAAAAAATGCTTTAATCCATTTTTTTTTTTTTTTTACTTTTACTTGTGTTGTCTGTACTTTTTTGGTCATATACAAGAAATCTGTCTGCAGACCAACATCGTAGACAATTTTCCCTATTTTTTCATATAGCAACTTTTGTTTCAAGTCTGATGTTTAAGCCTTTAATCTATTTTAAGTTGATTTTATATATAATTTAAGATGTTTTAGAATTTGACACAAAATTAAACTGAAGGTTATCTGCTTCTCATCCATATAATATTTCTGATGAATCTTGAGGGGTTTCCGACCAGTGTTGTTATGGTTTTGATGTTTGGTATCCCCCAAAACCTCATGTGTGAGACATTGCAAAAATAATTTAAAGGAGAAATGATTGAGTTATGGAAACCTTAATCTAATTATTTTGTTACTCTCAAAATATGTTAAATGTAGACAAGGCAAATGTAGACAACTACAAATGTAGTTGGAGGAGATGGATCATTTGGGCATGCCTTTGGGGTAGATATTTTGTAAGTTGAGCTTAGTCTCTCTTCTGTTTCCTAATGCCATGTCACAGCAACTAATGTTCTGCCTCACCTCAGGCCCCAATGAAAGCAGTTGTTGTTCTGACCGGCAGGACACATCAACGTGGGCAGCGAACCTAGATGGGGAGGAATGAAGGGACAAGAGACAGGAAAGGTGACAGCAAGACAGGAGCCTGATCAAGCTGCAAACTTTTGTTGTTCACACAGGGGTATTTATATGCTGGGGATGGGGAAGCTCTCTAATCAGCAACTGCTGGATGTGGGTGGTAAAACTGCCAGCTGCAAGATGTCTGATGATCCTGATAACCGCAGGATGTTCCAGGGAGATAGGTAGCTGCAGGACGCCTCCCAGGTAGGATATCTCCCAGGGGGCTGTCTGGCTATTCTTTGAAGGAGAATTTCCTTCTAGTCCCTGACAAGTTGTCTCTGTGGACAGAGACCTCTGAATCCCGAAGTCCCCAATACACTTTTCTTCCTCTAATTCTTATTGTCAGGTTCCTTTTTAACACAGAAGCAAAAAAGCTTATGAAAACAAGTGTTTAATTAACTATTATTTCAAATATAAAAAGCTTAAGATCAAACGCAAATGTCAGAAAAACTCTTGATTGTATAATTCCTTTTGTGATAGCAGCAAATAGATAAAACAAAGTATAAGATAAAACTGATTTTCCATTAATTTATGTATTTATGTATTAACTATTATCAAAGAAAGCCAAAAGGGACATTTTAATCTTATTTAAAGGTTTATATTTACAGGATGCAATTAATAGTTGTTTAATTTTAAGTACTTGACAATAAGTTTAGGTAAGTTTCAATGATCCTGTGAGGCAATACTAATTTTTTTTTAATTCAAATATTTTTATTTCTTCCTAGTTCATTTAAGGTGACTTAAAAATTGACAAAATGCAAAGCCCTGGTCTGAACTTAATTCTAATATCAGGGTAGTCTTCAACTGATAAACCTAAGGCATGACACCCAATTTCCTTTACACCCACACTAAATGGGTGCATGAATATAACATACATATACACACATACTTGCAAATATATGTGTACACAAATGACTGTGGAGTCCAATAAAAAAGATTAAAGCATTAGAGGGTACATATATAATCTGATGCACAATATCTATTATTTGTTTATTAATGTGGGAAGAATATTAAAAGAAAAAGCACATTCAAAAATAGAATGCAGTATGAGAAACAATGACAATATTTAAAAGCAATTAAAAATCAGCTTGATAATATCTCTGTTGAAACTTCACACACCTGGTATAAAATTTATTTAGGAACATTGTGATCTTAAGTAGATTAATAGAGTACTAATTTTATTCAAATAATCAACTTATCATAATGTATAACTTATTAAACTATATTAAATCTACTTAAGCAATACATTTATTTTATTTTTATTCTTATTTTTAGATTTGTTTTTGTTAATTAAGTTAAGAGTGAAGTGATCACATATTCCTTCTCAATTAATTTTATTGATTGATTGATTGATTGATTAATATAGGGGATTGAACTCAGGGGCACTCAACCACTGAGCCATATCCCTAGTCCTATATTTTATTTTATTTAGAGACAGAGTCTCAATGAGATACTTAATGCCTAAAATTGTGGCCGAGGCTGGCTTTGAACTCACAATCCTCCTGTTTCAGCCTCTTGAGCTGCTGGGTCATTTAATTTTTGTTTATTAATTTTTTTTAATGTGAAGCAGAATGATTCCAAACTCAGAGTTTCTGCCAGAAATAGAGTTTTATTTGTAGTTTATAATCCATAACTGCCAATTTATTATTCTAAATAGTAAAAGCATTTTTTTGATCTCTAATTGCCAACAGTTAATTACTTATAAAATACTATAACAAAAATTTTCTCTCATGTTTTTTCACCTGGTTAATCAAAACACAGGGTATATTTCTACTTATTGCTAAATATCTGTGTTACAAATCTACTACAATTTTAGATTAATAAGAAAAATAACATAATACAAAGTAGTTTAACATTCGAATTAGAATTCAATATTCAGGATTTAATTCTAAAAACATTACATGAGGCTTATTCCTATATTCATACCATTCTCTCGAATATTAGTGAGGTAATTTATTGATTAAACTGCAAATACTTGCTTGCTATTATACATGAGAAATCAAAGCAATTTTATATCTGCTTCCACAAAATATTTTACTTCAAAGAGAAGCCTTGATTAATATTTTATTGGAATAGATTTATTTCCCAAATTTTACTTTTTGAACTTTTCCCTTTCCAGTTTCACTGGTTCTAAGAAATCACATTCTGGGTTTTCTTAAGAAATAGCAAATTATTAGGGGAGGTAAACAGTTACCAATACAATCATAAAATCATTCAAGCTTTATTTATACATGGATAAAAACATCACATTGTATATCATAAATATGTAAAAATATTATGTCAATAAAAACAAATTTAATTTAAAAATTTACAATAGGTAGTACTGCCTAGCTCCATATTCACCTCTGACTCATATATATATATATATATATATACACACACACACACATATATAGGAACTGGATACCCAGAATCCTATCAGCATGTATGTGTACATTAAATATGTAAATGCACTTGTTGTTCCATAGAGGTCATATTTTTTTAAAAAATCTGAAGACATTTTAAAAAGACAGATGTGTGATAATGCTAAAACCTACATAAAATAAAAAAGACAGGTAAGAACAACAAAAACAAATACACACACACACACACACACACGTAATATTTTCTTATACAAGATGCCAAATTTGAAACTATAGACTCTGAAATAATTTATATAAAAAATCAAAGATGCTACTGACTTCAAGGTGCTTCTGTACAAAATAATAATATAATTTTTTGTTATTATAGGTCATATGGGATGGTTATATGATGGTATTTGAGGAAAACAAACTGAGTCTCCACCATTGAATTGCTGGTAGGTGATGCTGGACAATGTAAGCTTGAAAAAGAGAGAGAAAGTAGTGGTAGAAGTGCTGGGGATGTAGCTCAGTTGGTAGAGTGCTTGCCTCAAATGTATAAGGCCCTGGGTTCAACTCCTAGTACCACATTAAAAAAAAAGTAAAGTAGTGGTGGCAGGGGGTGGGTGGGTGGTGGTCTGTGTTCAGATAATCCATAGATTTAAGATTCATTGAGTAACCTGCTTAATTTTGTTATCCTCAATTCTCACATAAGTTAATTTCTAAGGTAACAATATGCAGTTAGATGACATGCTTCTCCATGGTACACAACTTGAATAAGCATATACAGAGAGTCTGTCAGAATCAAATGGATGATGGCATCAAGGCAACGCTAGAACAAAAATTGATAACTATGACTAAATATAAGTTATCGAATGTAAAAATAAATGAAATAAACTTTCACTTTAAGGAATTTAAATATGACTAAAACAAATTCAAAGAAAGTGCATAGAAAAAAATTAAGAAAATATAATTAAATAAAACATAATTTAGATATGACTAGAAAAAAGACTATGTATAAATGAAATAAAATACACATATGTTTGGGATAGTTGGTAAAAGATAATTAAATCTGGATACAAAGCATTAAAAATAAAAAGTATATTGACAAATTTGAATGCTATTAAACGTGATCTTTGTGCTAAAACAAAATTTTATCAGTAAATTTGGAAAACAGTGAATGAAGTATGTGAATTTCAAAGAAAAGATTGTTAGTGTTAAATTACAGGTATTATTTAACTTAAAAAAGACTTTACTTAAAAAGTATGCTTTTTAATTCTATAAATTAATATAAAATTCACAGTTATATCAGGCAGTATTGTTTACAAAGAAAATAATGCATACTTTCCATTTAGTAAATGTAGGGTATAGGTACTTATTAAGATATTAAGTATGTCAAGTACAGTGATGGAATAGAAAATAGTATACTATAATCACAGTTATTACATTAAAGGAAAACAAAGTTGTTTCAACCTTAGGAAAACTCAACATAATTCAATTCTACAAATACTAAGGGAAGGAAACCCATTTGAATATTTCCATAGATACCAAATACATTTAATGGTGTTTAATAAGTAACCCGATTTTTAAACATTTAAAAAAAACATGTGGTAGGATTTATCATTTATTTGTCCTTTTATTTTTAATTAGTATTAACAGTGAATCATGGAGAAACTATATACTTTAAATTATAAGTGAAAGATACAAAACTGTTCTTGCAAGAACATCAGAGAAACAATAAGAGGGTAAATAAGCCTCAGATTAAGAAACAAATTGAATTACAAACATTATATCTCCAAGTTTTTCCAGTGAATAACTATTTTAAAGTAAAAAATGCTGTTAATTTTTAAATTAATATCCCAATTAATTGTCAAAATGTAAAAGCTCTATAATTTTCCCAATTATATTTTTAATACAACATCAACATTGATTTTGTGAAATAAAAATATACAAAATAGAAGTATCCTTTCTTAGGTGGATACTACATTAGCAGGATTGTATTCATTTTCTTCTCTTAACTTTACGGTACTGTTAACAAAACAGGCGAAGAATTCAGATCTACCAAGGTCAGGTAATTAGCCCAACATTGTACACTTATGACATTATTGAGATAGTATGAAACTCAAGTTTGCATTTCTCTAAAATCTATCACTATTAGCACTTCATTTTTCATAATAGGTAGATGAACACAGAAGAGAGATACAGAAAGGTGCAAAACAGAGAGTGAGGGATCTTAGATACAATAATTTAGATATTTTAATTTTTAACAACTATATATTTTATGGTTTACATATTTATTTCTTAGTTTTCACATCACAAGAAACTTAAAATATATGGTGATAAGTTGTATATTTAAAGTGGTATATAAATTATCTTATATCTTCTGTATTCATGTGCATCACCTGCTGATAATCTCAAGGTTATGCTTGCAAGGTTCATTGCTGCTATGTGCAGCTCTGTTTCATTACTATCTCTGGACATTTGGATTGTTTAAATTTTGATGATGATAAACAAGACTGAAGTAAACTATGGTGTTCTTCACTGTGTGTAGTGTGAAGGTTTCTCCAGATATATAATTAGGGTGGAACCACTGAATAGTAGGGTTATTATGGTAATAGGCATCTTTAATTTTGTAAGATATTACCAATTGAAATTAAATTGGGTTTTTTGTTGTTGTTGCTTTATTTTGTTTTGTTTTGGAAATACACTCCTGCCAACCTGCAGGGATTTCCCTTCTGTACATCCTCAGCATCACAGGTATTATCAGACTCTTACTTTTTCCAGGATGAGGACACAGAGATCTTTTGACATGTATTGATTTCTGCCAGTTGCCATTCCTGCAGGACTCCTCATATTCATCTCAAAGAAATCATTCAATCTGGAGTTCTCTCTGCCCCAAGAAGCAGAGGCTAACCATTTTAAACTTATAAATGAATTGGATAAAAGGTTAAAGGGGCTAGCATATGAACATATAACTTTACGAGAGGCAATTATCTAAAGGAAGCCTACTTTATAAAGTTAAAAAGAATATAAAGAAAAATTCTGCTCTCCAGACATTATTTCCTAGTGTCTGGCAAGCAGCACCAACTTGCTATCTTTTATCCTTTGTAATTGAAATATTCCTCCAAGGCTCATAGGCTTGGTCCCCTATGCAGGAAGTTTCAGAGGCAGCACTTTTAGGAAATTGCTGTAGCATGAGGGCTCTATTCTCTTCAGTGGATTAATCCATTGATAGATTCATAATTTGAATGAACTATTGAGAGTTGGTGAAAAATGTAGAGTTGCAACCTAATTAAAGAGAGTAAGTCCTCGAAGTTTATCCCTGGGGTCTCTATTTATCCCAAGCCCTTTATTTGGTGTCTCTCTGAATCCCAGCTGCTGTGAGGTGAGATGCTTTCCTCCACCACACTCTTCTGCTTTGATTCTCAGCCTCACCAAGACCCAAAGCAATGAAGTTGGCCATCTATGGACTGAGACTTCTGAAACCGTGAGCCACACATAAACTTAGCTCGTCAAAAATTGTTCTTGTCAGGTTTTTGGTCACAGCAGAGAAAAGGCTGAAAAAAAAAAAAGATTTAATATTTCAAATACTGAGTCTCCTAACAAGCAATATTAGAATCCTAACTGAAAGTTAAGTATATTTAGGATGATTTACAATTGTGAAATCTTCTATGTGTATTAGGAATGTACAAATTTCTGAGTAACTATATTATAGCACAAAAGAAGCTATGAAAGTATAGAGTCTTTCTTACTCTTTATCATATTCAAGTAAATCCCAGGTCACTGACTGTCAAAATGAAACAGAACAGCATGAATATCCTTCCCAAGGTTAATGATGTATTGATAGTTTTAAAGCAACTAAATTCAATGTTCAAAAGCTACCAGTGTTCACTGAAATCTTCACTTTTATTATAAAGCCAACCATTGTATCAATAACTGATGATAGCATTATTTTGAGGGAATTTCATAAGCTGCTTTTGCGCATGAAACATCGTGGTTATTGAATGTTGCTGACATTTGCTCGTTAAAAGCTGAATTTTCCTATGTGAGTATAAGAAATAAAATGAGACGCAGGGACTACTTTTCATGTGAAAGCAAAATGCTATAGCCAGTCAAATCAATACTGCACTATCCCTTGAATCAAGCTACTAGAGTGTTTTTGATTCAGAATATTCAACTAGCTATGCTGTCTCGTGGTCTATACATGAGCAAAGTATTTGCATTGTTTTTGAAATATTAACAGATTAAAGGATTTTGATATTTCTCACTATTTTTTTTATTAATAATGTTGCCCTCAAAATGCATTTTTAATATCTTTGGCAAAGCTTGTGGGAGAACCTCAATTTCCTTACAAATAATTTTAAAAATATATAAAGTAAGGAATTATTCGCTTAGAGATAGAAATTTTCTTTGAAAAAAGTAAGAAGAAATTAAAGAAAAAACATGAACTCAACTTATAGTATTTAACAATTAAAATGCCAGATTATATTGTAATCAAGACATCATATTAATTCTACACACACCTCATACACACAGACCCGTACACACACACACACACAAAGCTTTTTATACTTTAACAAAACACAAAATAGCATTTTGATAAGGAATAATATTACGTATACTAAATCCTATTTAAATTGGTGACCTAACAGACAAACATCACTTATCAAAAATCAAAAAACATTGTAGCTCCAAACATGTTTATTTATTTATTAAATAGATCCTATCTTTTTTTAACATTTATTATAAAATAATTTTAGACTTGCAAGAAGTTGCAAAATAGTACAAAGGACTCTTGTGTTTCCTTCCTTCAGTAGCTTTAGTTTTCTCCCTGTTGTAACTGCTGAAGATACAATTCAAATGAATGATGTTTTTTGTTATTGTTTTCTTTTGAGAATTATGAACAGTCATTTCAGGTTGCAAACTGAGGAAAGAAATATTCTAGTCACCACTCCATTAATAAAGAAATTAATGAAATGGTTTGTTTTCCAAGGATTCTAGAAAGAATTATTTGTGTGAGATTATGACGGAGTATAGAGAATAATTAGGAGATTATAGCATTAGATTATAAATGGAAAATAATGAAAATCCTACTGCTTTTTTAGAGTACAAAGCAAGTCATCAGTAATAAGAACAGGGAGGTTGTGGTCACCCAAACTGAATGCATTCTTATTAAATCCATTAACAAATATAACAAAATACAAGAATCGAATCACAGATGATCAAATATGACAACATATACAAAAAAGCAGGTCTCACTGTGGAAACTGCCAGAGCTTACCCTGAGTCTCCTTGGAAGCCAGTATACTTTAGTTCAAGGTCCACATAGAATGGTTTAATTGCTCTAAAAATGCCCTGTACTTATTCATCCATCTTTCTTCCCTTGCCCTCAAACTCATATTTTACTGTCTCTAATTTTACCTATCACAAATATTATATAGTTGGAATCATATAAAATCTAGCCTTTTCAAACTAGCTTTTTTACTTAGTAACAGTTAATATTATTCCGAGTCTTTTGTGGCTTAATAGGTCAGACATTCTATTATTAATTAACATTGCAGTTAACGGATTGCCACAGTTTACTTATCCATTTCAAAATTTCAATTATTCATTTCTGATATTTAAGAAAGCAGTTTTAATTTTAAATGCTGATCATATATTCTGGAACTTTGTTTTATCGATTAATTAGTTTCAGAAATTTTTGCACCATTTTTGGAATTTTCTACATGGAAATTAATGTCATGTGTAAACAAAAATAGTTTCCTTTTTTCCCTCCTAATTTTCATGGCTTTCATTTCCTTTTATATTTATATTGCATGAGCTAGGACTTTGAATAAGAAATTAAATACATTCATAAAGAATACATCTTTGAACTAGAAAGTATTCCATTTCTCATTATTTAATGTAATGTCAACTATATGTATTTTGTAACTGTTCTTTGTCCAGTTGAAGGAATTTTTCTGTATTCTTAGATGCTGAGTATTGTTTTTTTCATTTCTCATTATTTAATGTAATGTCAACTATATGTATTTTGTAACTGTTCTTTGTCCAGTTGAAGGAATTTTTCTGTATTCTTAGATGCTGAGTATTGTTTTTTTCATGATAGGTATTGGTATTTTGCTTTTTTGCATCTATTGATATGTTAGGATGACTTTTCTGCATGGTCTAAAAATGTGACAGATAACTTTGTTTTTCAAGTATTGAACTAGTCTTGCATACCTAGAATAAATATATTCCACTTGACTATAGTGTTTATATTTAATTCCACATATACTTTTACATTTGATCTGCTAATAATTTCTTGAGGATATTTGCATGTACATTCATGAGATATTCTGTTCTATTGGTTTCTTTTTTCCTTTTTTTGTTAGATTAATACTGATTTCATAGAATAATTTAGAAATTTTTCCCTCTGTTGTGATAACCTAGGAAAGATTATAAAAAAATTATAAAAAAATGCTCACCATCTCTAGCAGTCAGAGAAATGCAAATCAAAACCACCCTAAGATACTATCTTACTCCAGTAAGATTGGCAGCCATTATGAAGTCAAACAACAACAAGTGCTGGCGAGGATGTGGGGAAAAGGGTACCCTTGTACATTGCTGGTGGGACTGCAAATTGGTGCGGCCAATATGGAAAGCAGTGTGGAGATTCCTAGGAAAGCTGGGAATGGAACCACCATTTGACCAAGCTAGTGCCCTTCTCGGTCTATTCCCTGAGGACCTTAAAAGAGCATACTATAGGGATACTGCCACATCAATGATCATAGCAGGACAATTCACAATAGCTAGACTTTGAAATCAACCTAGATGCCCTTCAATAGATGAATGGATTAAAAAACTGTGGCATTTATACACAATGGAGTATTACGCAGCACTAAAAAATGACAAAATCATGGATTTTGCAGGGAAATGGATTGCATTAGAGCAGATTATGCTAAGTGAAGCTAGCCAATCCTTAAAAAACAAATGCCAAATGTCTTCTTTGATATAAAGAGAGCAACTAAGATCAGAACAGGGAAGAAGAGCATGTGGAAAAGATTAACAGTGGGGGGAGAGAAAGGGAAAGAGAAGGAAAACTGTATGGAAATGGAAGGAGACCCTCATTGTTACACAAAATTACATATAAGAGTTTGTGAGGGGAAAGAGGAAAAAAAAAAAAACCAGGGGGGGGATTTAACCACCGGCGGTTGGGTTGAGAGGGAATATGAGAGGGAAGGGGAGGGGGGATTGTAGGGGATAGGAAAGGTAGCAGAATACAACAGTCATTAATATGGTATTATGTAAAAATGTGGTTGTGTAACCGATGTGATTCTGCAACTTGTATTTGGGGTAAAAAAATGGGAGTTCATAACCCACTTGAATCAAATGTATGGAAGATGATATGTCATGAGCTTTGTAATGTTTTGAACAACCAATAAAAAAAAATTAGCAGTCCTAATGATTTCAAATCTTTAGTAATAGTCTGCCTTCTGAATTAAAAATTACTGATAAACAATTAAATTTTTGTATAAAATTTTAATTGTTTAAAAATTAATTAATCAATCAATTAATTAAAGTGAATTAATTTCTAAAAGAAATTTAAACAAATGGAATATTTTAGTTGTCCTAGTTTTTGCAACAAATTTTAAAATTATTTTGAATCTATATTTCATTTGGTTAGGACAGATACCATAAGACAGTGTTTCCAATTCTTTCCTCCCACTTCATACAAATTTGTCACTCATTTTACTTATCCATAATCTATAATAATAAACACATTGTTGATATTGCTAATTGGGAAAAAAACATTAGATCAATTAAGAATAGGACAATTAAGTAATTAATTTTACCTTCATTTGTTAGTTCTCTAAAGACATTCACTTTCTTTATGTAGGTTTGGGGCTCTGATTTTTATCATTTCTTCCTCTCTGAAAATTTTATTTTTAACTTTCTTGCAAGACTGATTAAGTCGTTCCAAATTCAATTAAATTTTGTTTGAGGATGTCTTTATTTCTCCTTAGCTTTGAGAGAGAATTTTACTACTTATTCAATTTACAATTCTTTTTTTCTTTGGCTTTGTTTTTCTTTTGTATTTTAAATGTTTTACTCCATTTTATTCTTCTTTTTTTAAAATTTTGTCATTTGTTTTAATTAGTTATAAATGACAGTAGAAGGCAGTTATACACTTATATAATACATACATGGGATATAATTTCTCATTTTTCTGAGTGCACATGTTGCAGAATCATTGGTCATGTAGTCACATATGTACATAACAGTAAGTGTCTGTTTCATTCTACTATCTTTCCTATCCCAACATTCCCTCTCCACCCCTCCCATCACTTCTCTCTACCTAATTTAAGTTAACAGTGTTCTTCCCAAGTGCCCCCCTGCTTTATTGTGAATTAGCATTTGCATATTAGAGAAAACATTAGGTCTTTGGTTTTGTGGGATTGACTTATTTCGCTTAGCATGCTATTCTCCAACTCCAACCATTTATTGGCAAAGGCCATAATTTTATTCTTCTTTAAAGCTGAGTAATATTCTATTGAGTATATATACCACGTTTTCTTTT